GGCTGCCTGCGAGTGACAGAGTGCAGGTGCTCAGCCAGCACCATGCATGGACCCTGCTTTGGCACAGGGCAGCGCTCCCAAAGGCGCCCTTGCACACAGCGACCCCTTGCCAGACCCCAGCACTCACCACGGCTCCCCCATGCCGCAGCTGGACCCACGGGCATCCCTGTGGCATGGAAGAAACGGCGGCACAACAGTCAATGTTTGATCCATGGCTCAGTGCATCCCTCCCGTACACACCCTCAGCCCCACGGAGGCATAACCCCACAAAGATGCCGGCAGCATTCATTCCAAACCAGCCTTGCAGTTGCCCCACAGGACTTCATGCCCCAGGTCCAGACGCTGCCCAGTGCCTCCCAACACCCCCAGCAAGATGCCGCCGGTGCCACCAGCCACCCCCACCCACTGTGTCTGGGACAATTCGGTGCAGCTCAGTCTCCCCAGCTCAGTGACAGCAGATCCCAATGGGTCCTGCCCGGGACATGCAACCCTATATACAGCTCCTGCTACAGACCTGGCACACACTCCCCTTACCTGGGCTTTTTAACAAGCTCACCCTCACGATCCTCCACTGCCAATGTAAAGACATCCCAGTTGTGGACAGCCAGTTGGGCAGATGGGTGCCGGGGCAGGACCCTCCCAAGGTGATGGTCAGAGCAGTGGCTGAGTGCTGGTGGTGCCCATTTTGGGGTTAGAGCAGGGCAGACTCTGCCAACAGCTCATCTCCCAGGAGAGGGAGAGGACAGAGGAGGAGGAGAGAAGAGAAGAAACAGCAACAAGGCAAAAAGCTTCCCCACAATCATTGCAAGCATCAATTGTGAGTGTGAACCAGGTAATGGAACTTACAAACTGGCCCAGCTCTCCCCACCCACCCCGCAGCCCCAGGCCCAGCTCACAGGCTCTTCTACCCAAGGTCCAGGGACTGCCCAGCACCTCCCAACACCCTGAGCACAGTGAAGCAGTGCCACCAGCCTCCTCCATTCACCATTTGCCCAAGAGGAGCAGCTCAGCATCCCCAGCTCAGTGCCGACAGTGCCCTGAGGCCTGCCTGGGACATGCAGCCCTGTGGCTCCTGTTGTCACCCTGGTGCACCCTCGCTCCCCTTACCTGGGCTTTTTAACAAGCTCATCCTCACGATCCTCCACTGAGCACAACAGGACAGAAAGGAGACACAATCAGTTTGCAGCAACCAAGGACCAGAGACAGTAGGAAGGGGAGGGAAAGGAGGAAAACCAACCTCTCATCCCACCACTCTCCTGCCGGAACACGCAGCACTGCCCGACCACAGGGCAGAACGCAGCCCCAGCACAGCAGCACCAACATGAGCTCACGCACAGCCCCGGGTAACTCCCGCCAGTTCAGTCTCCCCAGAGGGCTAACATGGGGCCAAACCCAAAGCACTGGTTCCACAACACATCCCAGCCGTTATCTGGCTCCAGTTGCCGTGGCAAAGC